GGTGCATGTCTGAGAGGAAGAGTGCTGCTTGTGTCACCATGAAAACGCACTCGAAAAAAAAGCTTGTTAAATTTATCACTAGTCCCGGTGAATATAATGAAAGAAGAAGTACTTTTTTATAATTCTCATGTAACCCAAGATTTCAAAACATATACTGTTGTTGGTTGTGACAATTACAAAATTACATTTACCCATGCAGCCACGTTGAATTGGACTTTATAGTGGACAAAGTAGAAGATTAATTAATTGTGCTATTTAACTTTAACAATTTGTGCTAGGGCGTTTATTTGAAAAATTATAGACATGACAGGCTTTAGTAAATAAGCAGCGTCCTTCACAAAATAAGAATTAGTGCATAAAGAATTGACATTTACCTCCTACGTGTCACAAAGCGTGTGGCTGCAGATTAAATTAGCCTTGTTAGACCACAGTCAGTAACTAAACAGATATGAATTTATATTGCAGTGCTGTTCATTTAATATATTCACAAGGAGCAGCCTCTGATGTCTGTGAATTTACGCCCTCAAATAATCTTTTCTGTGAGAGTCAGTGTTAAGCATTGATATGAAAAAAAAAAGGGAAAGCCAGCGGAGGAACACAGAAGAGACACATCCCATCTATCTCTATAGCTCGAGCAAATATTGAAACCCATGATGTGAGCACGTCGCGCCTCGCTCTCCTCCTTCACTTCTGTGACAGATGTAAATGGATGTTTCAGCAGTTGGCTCTAATGCATTTTTAAACAGGCACAGCAGCAGACAGCAAATGAACGTGTCGCGACGGCAACATTCTACGATGGGGTCTCCGTCTAATGCTGCCTCCTCCTCACATGCAAACACACAAGCCCACGCTCGCGCACACTTCCCCACACACTGCTGCGAATAGCTGTCATTCATCAACTTTCGCAGTACAATGGGCTCAGTAAAGGTCCCATCTTTCAACTAAAGCACCTCCACAGCGCGGTGCCCAGCCGAGCACCGAACCACTGCATCACATTCCCTGTCATCCACAAACACTCCTGCACAGTAGGACGGATAGATGATTGGGCAAAACTGTTGTTTATTCTCCGAGTTGAAAATTAAAATGGCTCTGCTTAGCCAGACGACAACACTGAAGACTGTTACCGCTGATTAGACCGTCCTTGGCATACTGAGAGGAAAAACTGAAAAAAAAAAAAAAGGGGCAGTGGCCAGAGACAGGGCTGGTGTGTGACTGAGAGAGCTCCAGGGACTGCAGTTTCAAATATATATGTAAATAAACAAAATGAAAGCAAACGGAGAAACACATCGGCATATATTCATCATCTAGAAGTGTGCTGCAAGTACAGTCCACACTAGCAAATATAAAAACTGTCACACACACACAACACAACTGGTCTATGGCATCACTGAAAACGCATCTGACTTTAAAAATCTTAACTAAAAGCTGAGCTACAAATATTTCCTTTTAAAAAAAAGATAAAGATAAAGATAAAGATAAACTTTATTCATCCCGAAGGAAATTGTTTTTAATGACATAACCTTCATACAAGGTCCACTCACGGACTTGTCTCAGACCTTTTCATTTACAATCTTCCATCAGGAGATTTCTGCACCACTTCTTCAAATACAACCACACATTTGTAGATAGCTGGTGAGGTTGGTACATTTAACATAGAGGCCTCCTATTGTGACTGTTCATTTCTGTTGCATCAAATTTGGTAGAACTCATCTTCCTCATTTTTAAAATCTTCCTGCCCAGAGACTGCAGATGTAAGGCAAAGGACCTATTTTCACCATGCATGGTTACAAGATGCAAGCTCTGATCTCCTGATTTAGAGTTTCATTAGAGTGATGTTGACATAATAATGTTGGTAATTGAATCAACTGAACATTGTGTGTAATTTAAACTCAAATTTGGTGCGTTTAGTTTTTATTTATCCACATTCAAACATCCGTGTTTAAATACAAAACTGTACACATCAGACTAAATGTTGTTGTTGAAATTTCATTTCTTAAAAGCTACTGCATGTACAAAAACAGGCTGCAAGGTGGCTCGGTGGTTAGCACCGTTGCCTCGCAGCAAGAAGGTCACCGGTTCGCGTCCCTGTGAGGACACCTGGGATCTTTCTATGTGGAGTTTGCATGTTCTCTCCAGGTTCTCCGGCTTCCTCCCACACAGTCCAAAAACATGTTGAGGTTAATCAGTGATTCTAAATTGTCCGTAGGTGTGAATGTGAGTGTGCTTGGTTGTCTGTCTCTAAGTGTAGCCCTGTGATAGACTGGTGACCTGTCCAGGGTGTCCCCTGCCTTCACCCTGAGTCAGCTGGGATAGACTCCAGCCCCCCGTGACTTTAGTGAGGATTAAATGGTGTATAGATGATGGATATACAAAAACATCACAAAACCAAAAGCTAGTAAAGAAAATCTAGTTGGAGCAGCTTGATATTCTGAATATTTGTCAACTTAAAAACTTGCGTTTTTTGGAAATTCATTTTGAAATAATGTGGAAATACAGTTTGGAACAATTGATGTTTTTATGAGTAATCACATGAAAAACTTGTGTCTGTGCTACCAATCGTTAAATTAGTTGTGTAAGTTAAACGTATCAACAAACATGTCAGTGTAGTTAGTTGGGCGAACAAGACACCAATACAAGTTGTCCTACCTCAGATAGATTATGCAAACAAACACAAGCACAAACAATATTTATTGAAGTGTGGAGTTGCATTTGAGGACTTTTAGAGCTGATTCATTGACGACATTATCACTGACTCACTGTGACAAGGTTGTTATTTAGTCTGTAATTTACAGATTTGATTCAGCAAAACTAAAAAGAAGTAAGTTTAAAAAACAAATCTCGTTCTTACCAGGTGACAGAGATAAACAGACTTATTGTATTCAAAAGTGTCTCTTATGTCTCACAGAGCCCATCATTGTACATTTTGTCCTTTTTGGGGATGTCTATTTAGGTGGACATTTAAAAACATTTAAATCAAACAATATAGCATATGACGGTAAAGGTCAGTCTACAAATGAAAATTTGTGGTCGCTGCTATCATGTGGCTTAAGGTTCCTTTCGTCTGTGCAACAACGATTATTACATGTCACTGTGTGAGATGGCTCTTATAAAATCTTGGTCTCCATCTGTGTCAGACTGTATGATATCAGTTTGAGGCGTGCCAGATTGTGTGCTGAATGTCTGCTGAATCGCAGCGCTGTGATGTCAATAGATAAAGTATATGAAAGCAGAGGAACGCCGTCAGCTGCTGTCATTCATGTGTGCTGCTCTTGAGAATGAAACTCCACAAGTTTGTCCTTCTTTGCCAGAATCACACAAATTTTGTAATTCCTTTCTCCTTTAATATTTTGAATTGTGTGTTTGCGTGCGTGTTTTTTTTCCTCCCGTACACTAACATTAACACATCTCACCACGCAGAACATTCTGCGTCTTTTCAGGTTATATTCTGATTGGTTGGTTCCTACATTTCTGACACTGTTTAAATTTCGTTGCAGGTTGTTGTCTTTGGTCAGCAAAAGCTCTGAATCATCTGCCTGCGAGCGTGTCTCACTGTGTCTTTTACAATCATTGTTTTGGACTGACGATCTAAGATATCCCATTTCTCTCATAAGCTGTGTTGCCATAATATATCATTTTTATGCACATTCAAAAAAGTCAATAGAAATAGCAAAATGTATTAAAAAAAACTTGAGGTGGTTTCTGACTTTTTTGAGAAAGGGTTGATGTGCGTTACGGGAGACGTGAACGCATGTTTCAAATGAGAATCCACGTTACTGATAGGCTGTTTCCACTTCTTTTGTCGTCATTGGTGTGAAACATGGCAGATACCAGCTGGTTTCAAAAATAATAGTGATTTTTACACCCACTGAAACAGCTCCACTACAACAGAGGATTAAATACATGAAGGATTAGTGGTTGAAGCTCTAGAAAAAGCTCGTGAGTGGACATTGAGTTCAGTCTGCTGTAGCTGGAGGCAGAAAACAAGTTATGGCAACATTTGATCGATTGATTCTACAAAAATAAAAGTCACTACCATAATCAGGGCGAATGCTTTATCAGTGCTTTGTTTTTAGATTGAAATAAGCACATTTTCAATATTATATAAGTTGTATTTTTTTTTAATTTTTTTACACAAAACAAGAAAACAAAAATCACACACACAGCATTTACTCCCTCTAAAACTTTCCCTCCTCTATTCGCAGTGTATTTCTGTAAACTGCTCCTGTGATGTACAACAGTGGAATGTGTTTCTCAGTATGCTTGTGTTTTATTCATTTGTTGAGGTTTTTACTAAGCACAGGGTCTGCACAGTCACAATGCAGCCGTTTCATTTATCTGCCGGTGGTTTCTTGCATTTTGAATGCGTCCTACGTTTCATTGATCTTTTTTTTTTTCTTCTCGACATAAATGCATAGATTCATGTCGTCTCTGTGTCTTTACTCTTGAATAATACAGCTTCCAAAGAATACGAGTGCCTGTGTGTTCTAGGACAGGGAGTGATTAATATTGCATGCCAGCCCTGTTTTATATACTTCTTTCTTGCTTAATGTTTCTACTGTAGCCTTTGACTTTGTGGATTCTGTTTGATGTAAACATGCTTTGCGGGGTAACGCTGAGGTTACAGCGGGCTCCACTTCCATTCACTCATCCCACAATCTCTCTCATCTCTCTTTATGTCCATTTCCCTAATTTGAGGAAATTAAAGGGATATTTCACCCACTAAATAGGTTTACCAGCAATTGAAGAGTGGCGATGTGGCCCCCTGTCTTATTTATGCTAATAAAGTCCATTCAAAATGCACAAATTCTTCACATAAATCTGTATTTTGCGAATTGTATGAAAGCATTCCTCAAAGTGTTACCAAAAGACACCATTGCCAGCTTTTAGTGAATTATCTCTTTAATTATCAGCCTCACACTGCTAACAGTCTGTATTTGAGCTGATACAGAACGTCCCCTCATGGACACTGAACAGTTGTTTCATTGCTTTTGTCATTGCAGGTACCCATCAGCACAACTATAACCATGTGGCTCTAGGTAGCCCCACACGCACACCTAAGAATGGTAAGAACATTAGAGAGAAAGGGGAACATTCAAGTGAATTCACAGCTCAGCTCTGTGTTTAAGATGCAGTCTGGACTGGGGGCAGAATACAGTGCTTGACATGGACGTGTGAAAAACCCCTTGACATGGTCCTCTTTTCGATTCGCTCCGCCGCGAATCCATTCTCTTATTGAAAATGAGGCTTTTTTTTTGTTGGAGATTGAATCATAGAAGTGTCAGGGCCCATAGCCATGAACATTTTTCTGGGAGCAGGATCAGTCGCTGCCCATGTCGCTTTTTTTTTTTTTTTTTTTAAATAAAAGGGAATACAATTGGCTGAGGATCAACTTAATGTTTTGTCAAGGTCATCCCGCCCTGTGGTTGACGGACCGTGTGGAACCTGTGACGTTCCCCGCTGTTATCCCCACTAACCAAAGTTATCGCCATAAGCTGCCTGCCTGAGAGGAGCATCACCGCCAACCGTTTTCATTACTGACGTCGTTCGGCTGTTTGTTCAGAGCAGCTCTTGTGAGGGAGCGGAGGCTGGCCCGGGGTCACAGACTGGCAGATGTGAGGCGTAGCAGTTGCGTAATGATACAAGGTGGAGGCTGAAGAGAGGAAAGACAGCGGAGATAAAAGGAAAGAAAAGGAGGCCATAAGCTGAATATTCACTGCCTTCTGTGTTTATTAAATCACTATGATCTTTCCATTTGATTCATATTCTGTTTGTGTCAGCCACACACACACAAAAAAAAAAAAAGACTTGGTAGCTTTCGAGCAGTCAGAGCCCGTGCTTCAATTGCATTTCCGTCTTTATGGACGTAATTGACCATGTGGTCCACTCACACGCTCACACACACAGATAAGCAAGCCACATACTGGGAACAAATGCCTTGGAGATCTATGGGAAACATGAAAAATCCATTTCAACAACACATCTAACACAGAGACTTTGATCAGTAGCTCCCTGAAATCCCTTCAAATTTCAGCATGCAGTGTATTTTCTAGATAAAACCCATTGCCACGACCCCGCCAGCGGCCTGCGACTCAAACTACCCGGAGATACTGCTCCATGTCACGGGCAGAAAATACGCAATTGTACACACAAGTGTACATCACACGCCTGCAGAGGATAGAGCTGATTTCATTTGAATAACTTTTTGTTGAGGGGGGATTTGCTGTGCTAGCCATGCTTAATATGGAGGATGTCTGTGTACATTAGCTTCTGTTTCTCTCGCCGTCAACATGTTTCTGAAATATTTGTTTTTCACTTGGGTTTGGTAGCTCACCGATCATTGAGGCGTGGTAAGTCATACATACATACGTTTAATTTAGTGTGAGTTCTCATTTATTGCACTCCAGCACACATTTGTGTACACATATGCACCAAACCAACCCCTACATTTGTGTCTTCCTTTCTTCCACTTAAACTGCTGTATTTTCAGACCTGATTTAAGTAGCGTTTGTTTGACCAGAAAATTTGGTTTGCCATGTGGAGCAAAAGAGTCCCACCACTGTCCCAGATAACTATATGAAAGATGACTTGCTAATGTACAGGACACAAGCTGATGCATTAAAGAACGAGTTGTGCTGTGTTATATTCTTCTTATTGGCGATAAATCCAATCAAAAGACCAAAACCAAATCAATATTGTGTTACACTGCATCTCAAACTGTAGGGCTCTGACACCTGGAGCGCCAACATGGAAACTTCTTATGCACCCCAGTTCACATTCAATATAAACGTGCCCACAGAAGTGAATGTTCCTTTACATTTCGGGCTAAATATATAAGTAAATGGCATAGACTCATGGGAAATTATGTAATTCTATATCTGCTATAAAATGTTATGTGTGATATTTGTGTGCTGAATACAACGACTAATTTTTCATGTTAAGCCCTGCTGATTGATTACACTTGGCGCTGTGAGTCAGGAAACGTATGTAGCCTCCAGTATAGAATAATAGAAGTACCTTAAACTTGCATTCCTTCTAACAGCCAGCAGGGGGCGACTCCTCTGGCTGCAAAAATAAGTCTGAATGTTTAGAAGTCTATGAGAAACTAACTCTACATCTTACTTGACCTGCTACCTCAGTAAACTTTTTCCTAATGAGTTCATGACCTCAATCACTAGTTTCAGAACTTTTTGAGTACATCATGATGCTCATTTACGAAATGATGGTCCCATTAATAGGAAAATAGATGATAAAGCATTGTGTGCTTTAGGGCAGGGCTACCTTGTGATTGGCAAGCCACTGTGTTTAATGCTCAAGTTCTCAGTCAGATCCGTCTGGTTTTAAAAGACTAAGATGGGACAAATTCCAAACTAGAGGTTTCAAAACAGTAGTCCACAAACCAACAGGTGACGTTAGGGTTGCTATGATTGCTAGCCAGCTCGCTATCTACTTCCATAAAAGTCCTTACAGAATAACAGCCACAAAAATGGCGACATCCATGAAAGAGAATGACGCAGTTGTAAACATTGTGAGTCGACTGAACGAACGAAAAAAAAAAATTAAATATTCCTTCAGTTGGGAAAACTGCAAACCACTAATGCCAGAAAACAAAACTTAAAAAACTTAAACCAGGTTGCAACAAGGAATCTACCAAAATCAGTGTCAACCCGAATGAACGGCAATTCAGTCTGATCAGGATAGACATGATGTCGACTCCACAGAAACGGCAGTGACCATGTTCATCTTAGCGTTGCGACATTTGATGCAAAGCCCATTACCAAGTTGGGGCTCAAGAGGTAATACCTGTTAGTAGAATCAGCCCTTTTTTTTGGTTTTGGCCTTTTCATGGGATTTGTTGGCAATAAGAAATATATATAATATCACCAGTCTTCTCCTGTAAAAGTTCCTTTGCAACTCTGTGACTATTTGAGCCAGGTCTGTGTGGTTGTACTGTCCGTCGTGATGAAGCAGTTAAATGTATTTGCTATAGAGATAGCTTACAGCATGCCACAGTCTGAGTCGATTCCTCCTTTATTGATGCAGTGTGGCAGACAGTCCACTCACAAATCGTTCACATCCCTTAAACCCCCTCCTCGCAGCTCCCAGGACCCCCTGCTGCCGCCCGGCCCTGCTGCCACCCCTCCGTCCTGCTCTCCAGAGCTTCCCTCCTTTTGGTCGACGCTCCTTTTTTTTTGTCTTTCCTTCTTGTATTTCAGTCTCCTTTTTGTCCCTTTTAGATTCTCTTATCTCCATCTCTTCTCTTCTTTCCCGTCTCTCTCCATCCTGCAGCAGTTACTAAAGCCCTATTTTTATCTGTCCGTTGGAGGCTGGTCTGGAGCCGCACCCATGCCCGCTGCTCTGCACTGCGTGACAGACTCACAGCTCACAGGGGGAAAGCGAGATAGAGCGGGAGTGAGAAAGAAAATAAGAGAGGAGGGAATAGTGAATGGACAAGAAAGAATTAGGGAGCGGAGGAAAGTGGGTGGCAGCATGGTAGGACAGATAAGATTGACAGAGCGAGGCAGACGGCGGTGAATGGGAGCGAATGTTTGTGTGCGTGCATGTGTGAGAATGACAGATAAAGAGAAAGAGCAGAGTATAGAATAATAGAGGGCTTGGGTCCAGTCACACCCCCCCGTGCGTCTTCCTGGCATCATATCACGTCGCATCAACAACAGTCAGTCCAGGCATTAGTCCGTGCCCTGTCCCAGATCACATCACAGCGCTGTCACCAGCAGGGTCACTGTCCTGCACACATCTGTTGTTCGGTGTGTTGTCTCGTTACCTCACTCGCCCACCTTCACCCCTCTTTTCTTTTTTGGACCGCTGTCTTCTCCCGTCAAACCACCACGTCACCTGTCAAGTCAGTCCCACGCCGGGCGCTCGCTGAGTGCCTGGTGTGTCCGCCTAAACCCCCCCATCCCCGCCACCAGCAAGTTGGAGTTTTAGATATGCAACCATTTCTCAAAGGCAGACGCTCAATTTACTGGCTGGGTGACACTGTTTTCTTCAATAAGTAGTGCTGAACCTGAAAGGCAAGATTAGGATAAATAACACTAAGTCCTACTGCTGATTATACTAACATCTGACCACATATAGAACAACGACGAGGGATGTACAGACATTATTTTGCACTATCAAATGACATTTTGTATATATTTTATCATGCGTCAAATAAACTACTTCAAGGCCGTTTTAATACAGGCGATAATTCAGCCTGAAGATTGCCTTTAATCATGTTTTTGGCCTAAAAACAGCCAACTTCAGTCTGTAACGTAGAACTAGCTGGTCACGTCCAGAATTTGACTTTTGGGTTGGTTTGTTTTCGCTACTTTCATACCTTGAGCCACATCTTTTCTGTATGTGATATCAAACGGCTAACGTTGCTTCATGGTATTTTGTGAATGCTTATCATTCATTGTTAAGGTTACTGATGCAGCAACAGGATCTGCACTAGATTCTACTCCTATTAAAAGTGACAGCTTTAAAATCTGCCGATTGACATTATTGCATTACTTGCAAACAGGGCAGAATGAAACGTATCTGTACCAGGCCAAAGAGTGTTTGCAAGACAATGAAGCACAACTCTGCATTATCCCTCTACACTGCGAGTTGTGTTTTTGTAAATAACTGAGACCAACAAAGTGGTTCGTAACCCTCTTAAGAAGTTAAAAAAGATGACCCCAGTCCACCCTGCTCAAGTGCATTTTCATCACTTATTTCCAATACCAGGAAAACTGCTAATGAAACAAATCAAGCAAAATTTTGTTGAAATAAAGGAAAGATTCAGGTTTACAAGATAGCAGTGCTCACATCGGAGTACTTTTTTATATTCATGCAACTGTAAGCACACTCAGCATTCTTCTCTGTGGCCTCCCCCCCCTGCAGTGTCTCTATAGCACCTCAGGGTGCCGAGAACTACTGATGAGTTTGAGAAATCTGTATCTTCTAACATTAATGTATATTAATGTGCATCAACTTTTTGAGTTTGAAAATGATGTGTACTAAAGTATGATGACTAAGCTGTTGAACTCCAACCCAGTCGTGCTCATAAAACTGAACCAAGACCAGCTACTAAGAACTCATGCTTCAGTCTATTTGATCGTTACAACCTCCAAAGTCCCAGAAATGATGAAGAGAATGTCCTCAATGTTCTCAATAACCGCCCAGGCAACAACAGTGAATTATTTACTTCCTGCTCAACTGAATGCACTTGCACAATAATAACTGAGCTTTCATGAATCCAACCATGAATTATTACTTTATACTGATGAGATGGTTTCAGAGATTATTTTACAGCACCTCTGCCTCCAGGAAATATTTGTATAACTAAAACTCCAGCCTGTCTGCCAGCTTACTCCTTTTTTTTCTACTTCAGCAGGTGGTCTTCTGTGCCGGTTGCCTGGGGCCTCATTTTTGCGAGGTTTTTTCGGGGGGGATGGGGGTTAGGGGAAGGCAGCCTGCCCATTTTTTCCTCTTCCCTCTTCTGTCTCTGTATATGTACGTATGTGTCTCCAGAAAATAATCGGATAAGTGGTATCCTGACGTCGCAGACGGAGCCCTACGACCTGTCTTTCTCACGCTCCTTCCAGAGCCTGTCACACCTGCCACCCTCCTACGAGGTGGCCGTCAAAGCCGACCTCAACCGGTTCTCGTCCCTGAAGAAACTCAGTAGGTCCAAGTTCACTGCACTAATGCAAGAGTAGGCTCCCTGCCCTGATGCCCTGCATGATAAGAGTACTGCATTAAGTTTGCTGTCCCGACTCCTGGCAGGGACTTACTGAGGGCCTCCAAAGTGCTTCAGCTGTGAAAATGATCTGCCTGTACCGAGGACATCAAACAGTAGATAAAAGCACTCATACACATTTTTCTGGAGATTTCGCAGCTCCCGTTAGAGTAAACATTTGAGTGGATGGAGAGAGCTTTGAATCCGAATCAGAAAGTATCCATTTCTCTCCTCTGATCCTTCACGAAATCAGCCTAGTCATCTCAAAAAGAGACTATGAGTCATTGATATTCCATGCGTCCCTTGTCTCCACTTAAAGGCTGCAGCCACTATTTCTCTTGGAGCGTATAAGTACATTAAGCGGCTTCGTGTGCCTGGCCCGGCTCGGTATTGATTTAGTGGTGCTACGCTGGATTTCTGCTGCGTAATGAGGTCTCATCTCATGATATTCTCTAAGTGAAACGCAAATATTCCTTAAGGCTTGTGTAATTTCATCACAACTGCCCCACTTCACTGCTGGCTTGCAGTCAAAATGAGGGATGACGATCTTACAACTCATCCCGTCAGGGCTCAATCCACACTGGCTCCTACTTGTAGCTGCCAGGCACCATCAAACTAAATGGTACAATGGATTTGCAGGACGCAGTGCTATTTACTGGTTCTCAGTTGCACTGAACGAGAGAAAAAAAACAAAAAGCATTACCATCTTTTTACTTGAGGAATGCTTGTGAAAATTAACATAATAGTTTCTGATGGGTGGTAAAACAAAACAAAATGAATTCAAATAGTCAGAGATAGAAGCCCAGCAAAGAGACAGCGTTCAAATGGGAAAATATCCTTAGGCAGTGTCCTTCAGTCTTCCAAACTTTCTTTCTGCTTCCAAAGCAAATTATTTGTTGCAGCAAATAGCCAAAAGGCTCTGCCGTTTCTTTTTGTTGCTCAACTAGTGTCGGCACACTGATAGATCATGTTGGATTGTGCTGGAGGGAAGATAGAACAGCGTTTTCATTGTTGAGATAATAAAAGAGAAGAATGCTACTGCTTATTAATGCAAATTGGTATCAAACTGAAGAAAAAGCATTTAGCCCATTGCAGTGCAGGACAGTATACAGCGCGAGTTATTCATTCACTCCATGGTAATATGGTTGATGAGTTTGCAATGCCCTGCCCAGACCTTGAAGACTATTATGCTTGAGAAAGGAACATCTTGTTTTTATTATCTCTCATAATGAATCGATTTGCAGCAAGCACCCGTGGCTCGCTGCTGATGGGGATTTTGGCTGAGTGTAATCTGGACAGGTGGTGTGAGCACTGCTTCACCCATTATTGAAAAAGGCAGGCTCACACTCAAAAGTCATCTGAATAAGGTGGAGAGGTCTGCTCTCCACAATTTATTCCCGCCATATAAATGACACTGGCATTCACCTCGAACTGCGAATGACAGTTAAACATTCATGCACGGTCATTCATTCATTGACTTATAAATATTTCCATATTTGAATGGTTTGTGCAGCTGTCTTTTTCACAAGATGTTTGACAGAGTTCTTGTAAATGTGCGTCACTGTGTGTGTGGTAATGTATTCAGAGACAAGTCTTTATGCATGGATTTGTGTTGTGTGGCATGAATTTGATGCTAAATTCACTCCTACACTCTGTTGTCTCTGGAAATGTATTCTTGTCTTTTTGAACTGCTTCTGAATGCATGTTTTCTTGTTTGTTTAGTTTTTGGTTGCACACATGAATACGGATGAAACATCCACTAGAGGATATTAAAACACTTGCAGTTCTCAGTGTTGACATAATTGTGCAGTCTTACAATTAGCTTTCCAGCATGTAAATATGAGGTGCCTGCGTGCTTCATGTATGTATGATTTGATGATGTTTGTTTATAGACTTTCACATGACCTTTGGAAAGTTTGCCCCCACAGCCAGAGCTGCCTGTAGAATCCCAGATGAAGCCTGGATATGTGGATGTTATGTGCCTAGCATGTAATATTGTCTGACTGTGATCCTCTGCCTCTATTTTCTATTCCCCTCCATGAGCTTGGAAAGGTGAAACAGAGATGGGTTCGCCAACACTATTCTCTGCATTGTGTGCAATGCTCTCCAATTCCACTTTATCCGACTTCTCCCTTGCATTCTAACACCTACCCGTGTTTTCTCTTTCTTTCACTCCCTGAATCTCCTCTTCACCCTTTGCTTCTGTTTCTTTATTCCCATCTTCTCTGCAGCAGATAAAGAAGTTGAAGACTACTACACTCGGAAGCGCCACCTGCCTGATCTGGCAGCAAGAGGCACTCTTCCCTTGCATGTTCTCAAAATGAGTCAAGAACAGGTGGGTACACGAGTGTTCAATTTAAGTGCACAGGCTTCAAAACGAGGTCATGTACTTTGCAATTTTGATGCATCTATGAGGCAAAGCACAAGTGCTATCTCTGGGTCTCCAGATTTGAATATGTTAGAAGCTGTATAGCTTGGCTTTTACTTCTGCAGTAGTGGGTGGCGGAGCTTTTAGCCCTCAGCTTATGAATAAACTCACCTCATTCATCTTTTGCTCAACAGCACCGGGAACAGCAGCAGCTCCAGAGCCAGCCCCCGCAGTCCTCCATCTCCCAGGCCCCTTCCCAGTCGCAGTCCTCACAGCAGCAGTCTCAGCAAAGGCAGAGGCCCCGTCGTGTCCAAAGGGCAATGTCCCAGGATCGCGTCCTGTCCCCGCAAAGGGCCCCACAACAGGAATACAGCATGTCTTCTAATGGTATGTCCCCATACGGAGGTAGAATCCTCTCAGATGAACAGCTCCTGTCTGCTGAACGTCTTCGATCCCAGGAGCGTCTTCTCCCACAGGACCGCCACACCTCCCAAGATCGCCTGTACTCCAAGGACCGCATGTACTCCAAGGACCGACTCCTGTCGCAGGACCACCTCTACTCAAAAGATCGCCACTACTCCCAGGACCGCCTCTATTCACAAGATCGCCTGTACTCACAAGACCGCCTCCTATCCCAGGATCCTCTGCTCTCGCCAGACAAGCTGATGTTGTCGTTGAAGCGTGGCATGGTCAGTAGCATCTCTGGTGGGTTTCGTGGCAGCGACAAGTCAATGTCACGTGCCATCTCACACACAGACGTGTTCATACCAACCACGCCTCTCATGGATCGCTACAAGATGACCAAAATGCACTCCCATCCTAGTCCCTCTAACAATGGTGGTGGTGGCGGTGGCAGTGGGGCACAAGGAGCAGGAGGAACCGGACACTCCAACACTTTAGCCATGAACCAGACAGCAAACAAGAGGCAGGCGTTTGCCTCTAGACGGACTCACACTGTGGAACAGCTCCACTACATCCCACAGCACCACCAGCAGCAGCAACAACAGCCACAGCACTACCGCACAGGCAGCAAGACTGAGGTGACTGTGTAACAGAAGCCAGGGACTACTTGAACTGCATGGGAAGAAGCACTGTTGTGTGCCGGGGGTTGGGTTGACAGAGGTACGTGGATACACTGGCCTTCTTTTAGAGTAGAATAGTGGCGATTTTACTTTCTTTGACTGAGGTTCCTGCACAGTCAGAGATTCCAGGACCAAGAACATCCACTAACTTACTGTGAGAGACCGGAAAAACGAGCTACACTGTACACTACATACACAGGCCCAGCTAGATCTGAAGCCAGAGAGGGTTGTGGATGGGGGAGGTGTAGTATTATCCAGCTAACTTGCCTACTATTATTTCCACTGTCTAAATTATCCTATTCATCCACAGGCTTCGGCCTCATTCTGTGTATGTTTTAGTGGGAAAACACTGATAGTGTCTGTTTAAGCCTTTATCAGCCCCTTTTGTCCAACAAATCTATTCTGTGACCTTTTCTGGCAAATCTTAAAGGGCTTTGCATGGTTAAACACAAGAACCGATTCCTTCGTAACTTCTGTTGTGCAACACAACACCATCACAGGTGACGAACTAGGATGAGCCTGTAATTACTTTATAAATATATAAATAAATGAATAAAAAAACAGCCATTTGTACGCCCTGTCCTCCTCATAGCTCTAGAGAATCTCAATGAGAGAAATGGATGTTATCAGCACTTCTATTTGGTGCCTCTGACAGATGTTCCATTTCTAAAAACGAAGTGGTTTTGTGGGTTACAAAGCACAATCAATAAAAAAAATAAAATAAAATAAAAAAAATCTGTTCTGTTTTTGATTTGATTTTTCAGTTTGAATAGTGATGGCTAGCTTGTTTTGTTCTTAAAGCAATGGCAGGTTTTTTTGCTTCCAGTAGATGATTGTAAATAAGCTATTCTAGAAGCAGTACTATGGACAAGTCTGTACTGGATGGACTTTGTATTAGACTGTCTGTTTTCAATAGATTCTTTAAAAAAACAACTATAAATCATCACTGTTTCGTGAGTTCAGAATAGAAACCCACTTAACCGAGTATTTGACAGGATAAATTAATACTATACTGTGTGTGTCTTTGCAAAACTGTTTGTAGAATGAGAAGTGAATGAATGCGTTGTTGACAACAGATATACTGCTGTTCATACTTGGATATAGACTGTGTTTCATCAACATCAGAAGACTTGAACACCATGGAAATGGATTATAATGCTTGTCAAAGTGGGGTCAAATAAACCATCCATATTTTTCTAAACATACAACAGCGTTCCTTGAGAGATGTCTGTGTTGTGTGTTTGCCTCACAAATTTGACACACTACATTACCACGGAGTTCCAGCTCGACAGTCGTATTTCTTCAAGTTGAGTGCTCATTGCACAAATAAGTTGTGCAGTCGCGTCACAATTAAAATCAGTAGTTGAGTTCTGTTTCAGCACACGGAGTCTAGGAACCTGCTTTCCTGGATAAAGTTCATTTTGACTTCATCGCTGTAAACACGGCTGAGGTAATGAAGGAAGTATATCACAAAGCCTGTTATGTTTACAGCAAACAGAAAAATAAGAAAGCAGAAAGCAGCCAACAAGTTCTCAAATCGGAGTGGGAAAGCAGGTAGTTACTCAGTGCCTTCCAAAACCCATATGAGCTTAATGTTAGACAACAACTGAAGGTAGATGACAAGAAGAGGAAGAGTGGCTTAGCGCCACTGCACTTACTTTGCATGTTTCTCAATATAAGACATCAAGTTCCAACCATATGCAATCAATATTACAACAGCTTTTCAGTACCTGTATCTCAAGAGGGACTTTAGTTAAGACCTGCTCCACATTTAAGTAGACTATAGTGTTAGGACAAGCAGAGCATTTACGAATTGAAAAAAGCTGCTTCAAATATGTGTTAGCAGCTGTTTGGCGAGCAGCTGACTAGTGACATCCAGTCATATTTGTTCAGGTGTGCAGTGTGGCTGGACACTTCTCTAGTGCAGTCTTGCCAAGGCAGTTTGCTGGTGCAGCTCGCTCCATCTTCCAAACATCATCCTTATGTGCCATTCTTTGTGGATTGTTGATTTAGATTCAGATTTAGAGACTGTGTGTGTTTGTTAAAGGGCATTGACAACTCTTGGACTGGTTTAATTCAAGTGGTCTGGATATCTTTTGACATTCACATCACTCAGTCAGTCCCTAACTGGCATGTTATTCAATCCACCTTGGCCTCCTACTGAAGAATTTTCATTAAAGGGCAATTAGGCTTCATTTAGATGTTAAGACTTGTTTTGTCCTACTGATTGCCCAGTCAGTACCTACAGGACACATTCTGTTCTTTTATCCACACCTTCCTACTTTGCACTTCTTGTCGCAGCATACCAAGATCTAGCAGATCTCAAGAAAACTGATATTTTGTCATGTATTCCAAAA